GCATTTGAGTTATGGTGTTGGAGGAGAATATTGAAAGTACCATGGGCTGCCAAAAGAACAAACAGATCTGTGTTGGAAGAAGTGCAGCCAGAGTGCCCCTTGAAGGCCACAATGGTCAGACTTCGTCTCTCACAGACACATTGTCAGGAGGGAGCAGTCACTGGAGAAGGATAACATGTTTGGTAGAACAGAGAGTCAGAGAAAAAGAGGAAGACCCCCCGCGAGATGGATTGGCAAAGTGGCACAGTCGATGGGCTATGAGTTGGTTCCAACTCAAAGTGACCCTGTATAGGGTTCCCAAGACTTCCAAAATCTTTGCAGGAAAAGAAAGTCTCATATTTCTCCCTGAGAGTGGCTGGCCGGCTTGAACCGAGAACCTTACAAGAACATAAATGAAATCAAATCTGCAAATAAACAGACCTTTAGATTTAAACCAAACACTGACCTAGCCTATATCCAAAGACCCATTCCAGGTACTAAGATGAATCTGACAGACCCTACCTTCAAATAACATGAACTTTAACGGAATCATAATAATAAACAACTGAAACTGCCACTGGAATTATAATAAACCCTCAACTGTCCTGAAAATTCTAGTCCACAAAGAAATTTAAATATGTAACTATGCCGCTCAACATTCTAAACAAGAAACCTTCTCAAACATGTGAAACAAATGTTGGGTTTTGTTTTTTTCCCCTTCACCTAGCCTTTATTCCCATCTCCATTTTACTCTGCCTTCAACATGAAGGAAGTCTGAATACAAACGAATCTTCCTCTTCTCTCCATTCCACAGGCAGCCCACCAGCAATCCTGTCAGCTTAGCATCAATGCAGTCTCTCCAACCAGGAGCATCTGTGTCAAGGTTCCATCTAGTCCACTAGGGCAGCTACAAAAAGGGTCTCCCTGCTTCCTTCCTCTCTTGTACTCGTATCCTTCCCGTCTATTCCTTACTCAACAGAGTTCTTTTACTATATGAATCAGATCACCTCACTCCCAACTCAAACTGTTAAAGGACTTTCTTTCTGTCACAACCAGGAACATTCTTTTCAATTCTCCCTGGCCTCTATCATGATCTGGCCCTGGGCCTATCCCCATCCCACATACCTGGCCTGCCTTACAGGTTGCAACTATTCCTTCTTCCTAAGTGCTTCTCCCACCTCTGCAGAGTCTATGGAGACAGAATTCCAATCTCTGCCTCCCCTGACCATCCCTACCCTACCATCTCCTGCCCTTGCCTTGTTCTGCTTTCTTCACCACTCTTCTCACCCCACAATATAATTTATATCTTTTCTTATCATTGTTTATTACTTACACTAAAAAAATAAGCTCAGTGACTAAAATTAGATGTAACTACACCTTTATGTTGCACAATTGTACCACAATTATGAAAAACTCTTCTCAAACTCATCAACATAACTTCAGTATGTTGTTGTTAAGTGCCATTGAGTCAGTTCCGACTCATAACGACCCTGTAAAGGGTTTCCAAGGAGTGGTTGGTGAGTTTGAATTGCTGACCTTGCAGTCGAGTACTTATCCAAGGGCGCCACACCAGGAATTACTAAATATAAATTCTACTTAAGTATTATAAAAATATTTTAACTAGAAACAGTATGGAAGGATGGAGAATGAGGAAAGTATTTTAAGAACCTTCTTGAGTAATTTAAAAATTGAGGTATGAATGTTTCTAGAATAGGGTGATTTTGATCATTCCTTTGTATTTTGTTCAATCAGTATTATCTCCCTTACTTGGACACACTAAGTTGTATACTTCCATACTTATTCACTTTGTTCCTGGATTCTTGATACTCTTACTAATCCTGCATTTGTTCTTAAAACCTGACCAGGATTTACTTAAAATAAAGAACAAGTGTTTTCCAATATCAGCGCCTCCAGGTAGACAAGAAATCGAACAGAAAGAAATCTCCTGAAGATAATCTTATCCTGAAATAAGAAAAAGTATAGGGACTGCAATAAATAAATAATAAAATCCTTATGGAAAAACACAGGTCGGCACAAAATTGCATGAAGAAGATTCTCCAGCCCATCTCCACTGCATGAAAGGGTCTTCTATTGAAAAGAGCACAAATGTGGTAACTCATTCACTCTTCCCCCCAGTTTGTAGATTTCTCCCTGCTGCGTTCAAACTATACTAATCAAGACTTCAAACCGAACTTGTTTTGATGGACTACCAAAGAGAATACATGTCAAAGAAGACAGCTTGTCCAACTTCCTAGTGGCCAAATGAATAAAATGCTTTTCTTCTCCACTGATAATGATTCTTACAGACTTTCTATATCAATGATGAAAAGCATCATTAAAAATAAAGTGCTTTCTCACTGTGAATGTGGTGATGACACTGTGGGCAAATGATGAAAACTAGACATTATCAAACATCTTAAAGCAATGAGTAGGTGAGCCTGGGGCTGAGGACCATAGTCTCAGGGGACATTGTGGTCAATTGGCACAACATAGTACACAAAGACAATGTTCTACATCCAGTTGTCTGGGATATTAAAATTAAAAGCTCATAAGCGACTATCTAAAATGCAGCTATTGGTCTCTCCATGTGTGGAAGAAGAGTGGTGAGCATTGAAGATGCTTGGAAACAACTTGTCCAATGGACTAATGGAACATGTGAACATCAGTTTCCACAACCCAGAGACAAGAAGAACTAGATGGAGCCCAGCTACCACTACCAACTGCCCTGAATGGGATCACATTAGAAAGTCCTAGATAGAGTGGAACAAAGCTCAAAGTTTAAAAAAAAACAAAACTGAGCTTACTAATCAGAAAGAGACTGGAAGAACCTGAGACTGTGGTCTTAGCAGTAGACAGGTATATAGGGGGAACACCACCACTAGTAATAAGATATGCTCAGTGTGAATACTGAAGCAGTCAATCATTCAAAATCAAAGGGGCAACATGTACCTAAGGACAATGGTGAGAAAGGAGGAAGCAGATGACTGTTGTTCTATGGAGGGGACTGTAATCATTGAGATGAAACTAAGTGTATTATATGTTATATGTAAAACTGATGATCTTGTCTTTAAATCTTCACTAAATTCACAATAAAAAGTAAAATAAAATCAATAAATAAGGTGCTTTCATGTATCTTAACCAAGTTCATTTCTTTCTCTTTTTCCTTCATAGATATTTCTCCCTATAAATCTTGTTCCCAGTAGAAATTTTGAATAAGGTGCTTTCATGTATCTTAACCAAGTTCATTTCTTTCTCTTTTTCCTTCATAGATATTTCTCCCTATAAATCTTGTTCCCAGTAGAAATTTTGCTGGGACTTGACACATTAAAAAAGCTGGTCAGCTGAGTGTCCATGAACAGAATGGGAAGGATGAGCTATTTAGGCGGCTGGAGAGCACAGCTATGTCAGAAAGGGGCTGGCAACACTCAGCCAAGAGCATGTTGGCATGGCTGCCCAGTTCACACTCTGAGGCTTTAAAGAAACTTGGGGGAGCTATGCCGCAACCCAAGGAGCTCTGGCAGAGTAGTGGTTACGAATCAGGCTGCTAACCTCAGGGTCAGCAGTTCGAAACTACCAGCTGTTCCACAGGAGAAAGATGAGGCTTTCTGCTCCCATAAAGATTTATAGCCTCAGAAACCCTGTACAGGGTCACTATGAGTCAGAGTTGACTCCACGGCACATAACCACCACCATCACCAAAGATTTAAAGCCTCAGAAATCCTGTACAGGGTTGCTATGAGTCAGAACCAACTCCACAGCACTTGACAACAACATGCCCCAATGCAACACACTTGGGTCAGCCCCAGATGCCAATCTTTACACTCTTTTCCAAAATGTAGAAAGCTAGCCCTAAATCTTCAAATATCAAGGTTTTATCACTTGGGCTTTATCCATGAATCTTAAGAATCTGACTTTAGTAGAAAGAGCAAATCTCTACACTTAAGTTTCTGTGTCTATTTAAAAGGTAAAAAAAAAAAAAAAGTTCAATACAAACAATAAAAGTCAGGTGAGGTAAGATTGACTTAAGCCACTAAATCAATATATGTATATGAAGGGCTTTCAAAGAGTTCATGGAAAAATTCCATTATCGTTTAATTGGATCTTTCCATGAATTTTTTGGAGCCCCCTCATATGTATACCACACCAACAAACAGTGACTTCTGTTCATGGAAAAAATATTTTGTGATGACTTTTCCATCTATAAAGATAGCCTGGAAAAACCAATGTCATTAATGCCTGGAATTACCAGCTATTCAAAACAGAAGCACCATATGAAGATATACAACTTTCACATCTGAAAATATTCTCTATTTCTCAGACTTCAAAACTGAAGGACTGTATCAACATAATGTTAAATGTTGGAGATGTTATAGAGACATGTAAATAACTACTCCAGGCTAGCAGCACATATGTGGGCAGCTTATTTATTTTTCATCAATAA